ATACAACAAGTACACTAAACGCAGCGTTCTGTACGCGCTGAGGCGCCCGGTCAGTTTTATGTACATGTATCTAATATTGACTGAGTACGAGGTCAATATAGGAAATAAAAGCCGAGTAAAAGACCGAGGCGAAGCCGAGGTCTTTTACAATGTACGAGGTCTTTTATTTCCTATACTGACCAAGTACGAAGTCAATATTAGATTTATCACGACAAACAGTCCGTATTTCAAATTCCAGAACGATATCCTCATGATTCCCGGTTTTATGATTGCACAACCGTTGCACCACCACTGTCCTACTCATGCAGTGACAATGCTGCACTAGGCACCGTTCAACTGCGCAACCCCTAAGCAGTCAAATATAAGCAGTCAATATAGCCCTAAGGAGTGAAAATTAATATGCAGGAATATTTGACTGCTTAGGTATGGCAAAAATCTATGCGAGTGCTTGAAAGTGCTACGTCACAGCATAGGAAAAATTTCAAAAATTCAAAAACTGGATCCACTTGGATCCAGTTTGTGTATGGATCCAAGCACATTTCAAGCGGTCTTACTCACAGCATGGTGATGTAGCCAGTGAAACTGACTGATTTGGCTACTGGGGGCGGGGTTACAACTGGTGGCGAAATAAAAGTCACACCTGCATGCGACTTGAGTGGGTTGCTATGTGTAATAGGTAGCCGAGTGGTATCAGGAGGCACACACAAGAAGACTGGTTAATATTATGTTCTTCGGCTCAATCTGCCTGAAGTTATGTATACAACTGCTCCGGCTCAATCTGCCAGGAGGGACTCTGTTCTGTTCTGTTATGTTCTGTTATGTTCTGAAGAAATGAGTAAAGCATGGCAGCTTTTATAGGGCGAAAAGGAAGGAGATCATCATAGCGTCTGCATGAGCCATGAGTCATGAAAAAGGGCAGAAGTCTGTTGTGTCAGTCCAAACAGAACTTGGGAAGGCATAGCAACAGTATCTAAATGTATAAGGATGAAAGAAGCGAACGGAACTTTGGAGGAGAACAGAGGCCAGGGAGGGCATTGGCAAATGGATGCAAACATGATCTAGAAAGGGTCATGACTGTCCGCATGACCTCAGTCAGGGTCAGGGAGGTACAGTACAACATGTGGGTGTTAGTTCTACATGTACATATAGGTGTGATGATCTAACTAGCAAAGATATGTAGTATGCAATCCAGCAAGCCCAAGAGAAACACAAGTGGTGAGAAGTGATATAATTAGCTTTGCAGGCTTGTCAGCAAAGGAGTGACAAGAGTCATGCAGTGCATGTACGTGTACATGTGACATGATTAGAGGTCAGTAGAATGATGTAGATTGTAGTAGTCAGCTACAATTCAGTACTAGCAAGGCAGGGATACTACACCCTCCCTTCCTATAGATAATCACGCCCTCGTGATTTGACAGCGAGTTACGAATGATCATTATGGTGAGACAGCATGGCTTGGTAGACTGATAATAAAGTAGGGACCCTGTGTGTATAATGTGTGAAGAACCTGTCTCTCTGTGGAGCGGGAAAATGTATGCGTTCGCGTCTCAATACTGGACGGTAAAAAAAGGATGTGTAAATCGCGTCACTGTGGACGGTAACAGTTCTTCAGTCGCGTCTCTCTGGGACGGTACAACGGGAAAAGTAGACTCGCGCATCGCGGCATCATGTGGCGGAATATCATTGTTACATGGACTGGTTATTTGAGTGCGTGCTTGCAGGGTATACAGTATTTTGGGTCTGAAACTGATTGCTTGGTCGGTACGGGGTGGACATGATCGGGATGGGTAATGAAAAGCTAGGAAACTTTGTGGTCAGAAACTTGAGAAAGCGGTTGTGCGGAAGCTTCAGTGGGGCGAAATGTTGGGTGATCTAGAACTGTGTACTGCATGGATCTGGACGTACATGAAGGTGCATCTCCTCCGGTTGTGAGTCCTAGGTTGTTGATCGAATGGTGGGACGGGGACTGGGAGTGGGATTGTCTATGGGATGGATTTGCTGAAGGGACGTGGAGGGCCTTGTGTATCGCGTGTAGTGTAGCAAACAAACTAAAGGTGAGAGATGTTAGCAGGGGAACAACTTTGGCAGCAGAACGAGTTAGTGAGAGGAATATGGCAGCAATGATCATGATCGCAGAATGGACACTACCGCGGGATGGTGGAGCTTGCATAATACGCAGCGGAGCTTGCATGGTAGGGGTGGCATATGTACTCACGTTAGTAACAGGTGCATTTAAAAGGGTTGGCGATAGAGTTGCGGTACAGCAAGTAGGGTGACATACCTGGGTTGAAGTGAAGATGGGTCCTGTGGGGCGAGGACGATAGCAATACGCTATGTGATGGCCAATTTTCTTGCAGGATCGGCAATAGGGACGGAGACGAAAGGGCCGACGTCGCTTGGGTCGTACATACATGTATACCGGTAGTACAGGGATATGCCGGAGGGCATGAGAGCTCGCTGGAGAAGTATGGTGATCCACTTTGCCGGAACGCGGGCGTCGCAGCATCGATCTGCTGTTCGGATGGACTGGCGAACCGGGATTCTGCATCGTTCTCAGATCGTCATGGGTTCAGAAACGCGGTGGGGCCAATTAACGGTGCTTTCCGCTCATCGTTCGAGGCTGCCATCAATGTAATAGGTACTATACAACGAGACTGATGACAACGATTGACTAAGGACGGCAACAACATAACAAGACTGAAGTTGCGTAAACAGTAGATCTACAGTACAGGGACGAAATCGCGCACCGCTGCCACCAGTGTAATAGGTAGGTTCGAATCTTACAAAGGAACGTCGTTAACTTTAACCACCGCTGCCACCAGTGTAATAGGTAGCCGAGTGGTATCAGGAGGCACACACAAGAAGACTGGTTAATATTATGTTCTTCGGCTCAATCTGCCTGAAGTTATGTATACAACTGCTCCGGCTCAATCTGCCTGGAGGGACTCTGAGACCTCAGGTCGGCAGAGCCATCAATGCCCCACCATCACTGCTGCACCTCGGTGCAGCCCCTTCTCAGTAGTTGTCACGTTTGTCCTTGTCTCAGTACCATTGTCTTCTGTATTATTTATGAGTTGGGTATGTGAACATAGTAAAAAAAAAAAAAAAAAAAAAAAAAAAAAAAAGGAATACAACTGCTCCGGCTCAATCTGCCAGGAGGGACTCTGTTCTGTTCTGTTATGTTCTGTTATGTTCTGAAGAAATGAGTAAAGCATGGCAGCTTTTATAGGGCGAAAAGGAAGGAGATCATCATAGCGTCTGCATGAGCCATGAGTCATGAAAAAGGGCAGAAGTCTGTTGTGTCAGTCCAAACAGAACTTGGGAAGGCATAGCAACAGTATCTAAATGTATAAGGATGAAAGAAGCGAACGGAACTTTGGAGGAGAACAGAGGCCAGGGAGGGCATTGGCAAATGGATGCAAACAGGATCTAGAAAGGGTCATGACTGTCCGCATGACCTCAGTCAGGGTCAGGGAGGTACAGTACAACATGTGGGTGTTAGTTCTACATGTACATATAGGTGTGATGATCTAACTAGCAAAGATATGTAGTATGCAATCCAGCAAGCCCAAGAGTAGGGATGTCAGCGCGGACACTGCGCAGGGCTTTGCGCATTCAATGATGTAATCGATTTTTCAACGCGGCGACGGCAGACTGAAAAAAAATGGCGATCGCCAAAAACCGGCTCAGTGAGTCGGTATTTGACGACTCCCCGATGCAGCTCGACCTACATGTAGATTTTGAAGTTTGGAACATTTTTAGAGAGAAAGAGAGGGACAGAGAGAGAGAAAGAGAGGGCTAGCAAGAAAGATTACTCAAGCTAATGCTTCAGTAGAGTCACTAGAAGTTCCGGGCACACTGATAGGCTAATATCATCAGATTCTGACGATTTCCACAGCTTGTGCCGCTTGTTGCATAGCGCCGCCAGAAGATCGGCGATCGTGAAGTCGGCTTTGGGTAGATTTGGCTTTCGCCATCCCGAGGAGCCGCTCCTGTTGCCTGTGAGAACCAAACCACGTCTCCACACGACTACTCGAACAAAACCCTGTCCACACCTGACAATCGATGTCTCTGGAACAACGGCCCATATGCACGGCGATATGTCAGAAATGCAGAAATTCACAAGAACGAACACCGTCACGTGGAGCATGAACGCTTCGGTCAAATTTCCTGCAAGCTCCCAACATCCAACATCAAGTATTTCTGCCGGGTTTACCATTGAATCCAGAGCTTTTCCCCGGTTAAATCCAGAGATTTTTAACTCGGAGATCGTGGCAACGATCGGCATGGTCGCCATTTTCCGCTCTGAAAGAACCCTGTCGTTTGGAACGAAAACGGCTTCGCGCCTTCCAACGAAAGCTACATGTACAAATCGATTCCAGAACACATGGGCGGCCAACATACCAAACAAGATCCCATTCTGGTAAGCAGCCTGTAACCACCATCTCCTTGCAAGGAAATTTCAGCCATTTCTCCTTCGTTCAAGATCTCAATTTTCTGCAAGAAAATAGCCAGTGTTTGGCAAAAATTCTGCATGCCACTTGTACTTCTGATGCGCGTTTACGTTTGGCTGCATGCGCGAACTGCATGCGCAGTGCACGCGCTGAGGTACCTACCAAGAGCTAGAGAAACACAAGTGGTGAGAAGCAGGGAGTCGTAAAAGCCCGGGAGAGGACACGGGATGCGCGCACGCGGACGATGTTTGCCTCGGCCAGAAAGTGAAGCACGCTAGGCCGGCGCGGCCGGATCTGCTCGATCCACGGCGCTGTGCTCGTTTTCAGGGCAGGGAGTCCTAAAATACCAATATTTTACGACTCGTTGTTTGCCATTATCCGAAACTGGTGGCGAAGGAAGCATAAACATGATTTGTCAGACTCAGTACACATGGTACAGGGGGTGGGGAGTTGACAGTGTGTGTGTGTGGGGGGGGGGGGGGGGGGGGGCGTGTGTACATGTATGTGCACATGTGCTTGTACTTTTGTGTGTGTTTGCACAGTGTTTGTGTGTGTGTGTGCGCGCGCGCGTGCATGCGTATGTGCGCATTTTTGTGCACAATTCCGTTATGAAAAACAAATGATAGGTTTACCTTTTGTACACTCGCCAAGACTTCGGTTAGATTCACTGAGAACCTTTCTGGCCAACCTGGAGGCTGAGCCTTCCGTTTCCTAAACGGCTAAAGTCACCGCGTACTCAGTATACGAGTAGAAAAGTGTTGTAGATAGATAGGGAACACACATTGATTGTTTTTAAAAGAATCCAGGCAATATCATAAATCATAGAACGAGTGCGTAATAATGCTCTATGTTGCGTTTTGACGATGCTGAAGGAAGGGAGCTGTTGCGATTCACTCACAACACACACACACTCGACTGCAATTTCAGTGCAATTTCTGACACAAGTTCATAAATCCACGAGTACGAGGAAGCTCAGCGGATCTCCACAAGAACTTTCGCCCATCACCTGCAATGAAATATGGGCTGTATGATATGACCAGCGGCTAACATGGGAAGTGGCGTCATTTTCCACAAATCTCGTTTCATTCACAACCATTTTGACTGCAATTCAGTTCAATTTCTGCAACAAATTCAACTCCACGAGTACGAGGAAGCTCAGCGGATCTCAACACGAACGTTCGCCCATCACCTGCAATGGAATATGGGCTGTATGATACGACCAGCGGCTAACACGGGAAGTGGCGTCTCTTTCCACAAATCTCATTTCGTTCACCCCAACTCAAATAAAAGTGAAGTACAATTAGGGATTTATCTTGCATTTCCATCGCCTCAGAATAAATTAACTTCGATAAACTGAGAGAGAATGAGTGAGGCAGCTGGAAGAATTGAGGATGAAAATAGAGATTAGAAGACTCGACGGAGAAATCGTCTCCGTGCTCTAAGAGAAATCGGAGAATGTCCCCCCCCCCCCGAGTATTTCAAGAAGACATCACAGTTTTCGAAAATAATAATTTCCTTGCCTCGCTACACCGTTCCCTGGCGCATGGCGCAGCGTTCCCCGGCAGCGCGAGGCAAAGATGTTTTCTGGGAATGTGTGCCGTGTCCTCTCCCGGGCTTTTACGACTCCCTGGTACAGAAGTGATTATTTTAGCTTTGCAGGCTTGTCAGCAAAGGAGGAGTGACAAGACTCAAGTCAAGAGTCATGCAGTGCATGTACGTGTACATGTGACATGATTAGGCCAAGTAAAAAAATCCTAGTTTATCGTCCCCGCCCGCCCCATTTTTCGAGGCCGCCCGGAATTTATTTTTATTTTTTAAATCTAGAATTTTGCCAAAAAGCTTGATTTTTTACGTCGGCTAAGGCTTGAAAACACAGCTTCGTCTTTCTGCCGAAAGTCCGTCTTCATCCTGTCGAGACCTCGACAGTTTTCCGTTCTTTCCGTAGTTGCGACTTTGTTGAGAAGCGACATGCCGTTTGTTTTGCTGCAAATCCGTCGCGGGTTGAAAGTAACGTTCTGAAGTCCTGGTATGGCTGTGTTGTCTCTGCGTCTTCAACTCTCTCGGACATTTTCACCCAGTTCAGCGCTGGCGACCCAACAGCAGATTGTTGCACATGATGTGTCATTGTTTACCACTAGTCTGTAGCACATCAAAAAATAAAAAATAAAAGTAAAATCCGCCCTCCCTCCCCGATTTTTGTGAAAAAAAGGACGATAAACTGGGATTTTATTTTTACTTGGCCTTAGAGGTCAGTAGAATGATGTAGATTGTAGTACTAGTACAGCTAGCAGTACTAGCAAGGCAGGGATACTACACCATGCGCCCACATACATGTACTTAGGCAATAGCAAAGTCACACCTTAGGGATGTCAACTAATTACTTACTACTCCCTGGCCGTTTTGACGTCATCACTTTCAAGCCCACACTAAGGGAGTGATAATAAAATAATAAAAGCGCGAAAGGAACTACCGGTACATAATCATGAATCATCATTGTACTACTTTGCTCTCATCACTGTTAGACTGAAAGTGGTTTCTTCGCTAGTTTTACTGAGCTGCACCGGTCGTTGTTCCTTGAGAGTGGCCGTTTGAGCATTGCTGGGGAGAAATAGCGGAGCAATGTCCCGCAAAGAAGACCTACTGCGGTAAAGGTATAGTTTAGGGTCCTAAATTAATTATTTTAGTGGGTCAGCATGCTCTACAGAGTCCCAGGCATGCACATTACACATAGGCCTTGGCCACAACTGACATCGAATACGATGACAGTCATGTGGATGGACAACCACTGCCACTGGTGTATGCAAAATCACCTTACGATGCGAACGAAGACGGCGCAAAGGACCATGAAAATTGCCTGAGTTTGAAGCTCGGTGATGCCGTGCGTGTCTTGAACACCTCCATGGGCAAGGGAAGGTGGTGGGTAGAAGTCAAAATATTCGTCGTTCTGCCAGGAGGCTTCCTCCGCGCCGCGCAGGTCATCCTCAGTGCCAAGGAATGATGATGGAACGTAGCCAGACTCGCCATCGACTTCTACCCACCACCATCCCTTGCCCATGGAGGTGTTCAAGACACGCACGGCATCACCGAGCTTCAAACTCAGGCGATTTTCATGGTCCTTTGCGCCGTCTTCGTTCGCATCGTGAGGTGATTTTGCATACACCAGTGATTGTCCATCCACATCGTATTCGATGTCAGTTGTGGCCAAGGCCTATGTGTAATGTGCATGCCTGGGACTCTGTAGAGCATGCTGACCCACTAAAATAATTTGGGACCCTAAACTATACCTTTACCCCTACTGCAATGCCCGAAGCCAGTTGCTGGAACCGAGCGCGCCGAGCAGGCTGAGTTTATGTTGCAGTGTGCTGGAATACCAGACCTGACGGACTCGGTACGCATTACCGGCAACACGCTGTTGCACGAAGGGTCCTTAGCAGATATCTATGCAGGTGAGCTATGCGGAACGAAGGTCGCGGTGAAGTGTTTGCGGGCCAAAACGCAGCGCTCAAATCTAGAAAAGTGTAGAAAGAAGGACGCAGCCAACACGGAGTGGCGCGCCATGTCCCTGTGCGGCTTCCCCCACGTTGTTCAATTCATCGGAATAGTGCGTAGGCCTCTCCATCATCCTCCGCGTGTGCAGGCACTCGGTGTTAGTGCAAGGAGTGGCGGAAAGGATGCTGCCAGTGCAAGAGCAGCTTGCATGCCCGTGACTGCTATCGTTATGGAAAGGTGCGTAATCAGTCTCGAGGACATCTACAGATCCCCGAAGGCGCTGCGACTGGACGAGCTGATGCAAATTTTTCGTCACATTATTTCAGCCATATGCTTCTTGCATGACCAAGGCATCATCCATTGTGATGTTAACCCGAGGCACATAATGATGACTGCCATGCCACCTGGTCAACACTGCAACTGCACTGGGGAGAAGCATGATTGCCTGATTCTCTGGAAAGCGAAACTTATTGACTTTGAATCCAGCCAGCGCCTGCCGCCAGGAGAAGACGAAGCAGAGATGAGTACCAAAGAGCGACATGATGTCTACACAGCGCCCGAAGTGCAGGTGCGAATCGTGCCTGGGCGAGAGAGATGGGCCTACTATGGCAAGAGTGTCGATATATATTCTGTTGGCGCCACTATGATCGCTATGTTCACCCGCCAGGAGCCAGAGCAGCACCCAGAGTGGAATCGGCGCTTCAAGGAGGAGTTGAAAAGCCTTGGCAGCGATCACGCCATGAGAGACGTTCTCATGCAGTGCGTGCAGTACGAAAGCAAGGGTAGACCGGTACCAGCGGCGCTGTTGAAGCAGCTCAGCCCGGATAATATATCTGCTGGGTATGACAGTGAGGAGGACGAAGAAGGAATTTACGACTTGGTAAGCTTCCAACATTTCGAGCAAAACTTACCTTCGCAATTATTGCTTGCCGAAAACTTCTTTATGCATGCTTCTAGACTCCTGAACCTAGTGCCAACTTCTATGATTGTCTTTGTGTGATTTATTTTCTTTTGCACACGCAGCCTGGTGGTGAACAAGACATAGCAGGCATTCCCTGGGCCCGTGCTGGAGAGAGTACGGGCTTGCAGCCTCAGCCGCAGTTGGCAGCCGCCACGAGCGGGGGAATGACGGGGCTCATGAGCCAGCTGCCGCTGCCGTGGAACTCTGCACAGCAGGTGAGCAAAGTGGAATATGCTCTCGTCGTGGCAAACCCACCATCAGGGTTCTAGCCAACAGAGAGGGGGGGGGGGGGGGGGGAGTAGGGGACACAGCCCCCCCCCCTCCGTGAAAAAGTGCCACCATCCCCTACTCATTTGTCAATTTTTGTGTTCTTTTTGCATGCGATTCAACGAAAATGCAGTCGATACTCACGACTAAAGGGTTCGTAAAGGCACATGTGCCTGGGGAGAAGTCGGGGGTTCACCCCGTACGTTGCATTTGACAATTTTCGGAAATGAAAAAATGGGTTACGGAGTAACTGTTTCCCATGCCCCCTCCCCTCCCCCCCCCCCCCTCCCTCCCCCTCCCCCCTACTATTTTGACCTGGCTAGAACCCTGACCATGATTGAGTCACTCTTCACCAGCCATGTAGAAAGGCAATGTTATCCGTGCACTTCTTATGGGACAAAAAAATCACGATTCCGCGACTGGTTTTGTATTGTATTTTTGTTATTTAACTTGAGCATTCCCAACAGACCCTACACGGCTGTCCCATGCATGCGACGCGCGTTCATTCAATATGGCGGCCAAATTTTAATCTTTTTCATTTTTTACGCGACCTGGCCTAGTCGTATGTTTGCAATTTCGCTCGACTTCCATCTCAAACGGGCAAGGTCAACCGAAACCACGGGTGTTTGCCAGGTCATTCGATAGAGTTTATAGCTTGGACTGGCCTTGCCTTCGACTGTGCCGCCGCTCGAGCGATCTTCTTGGGTTACCCACGCGCTACGCATGGTTTCTTTCTCGACGTGGGTGCAATTATTGTTGGATCGTCGCTCGATTTCAAGGGCTCACCAACCTCGTCAGCGAATTTTCTCCGCCTTGCAGACAATTTTCTAGTATACCTCGATGTCCTAGCCTTTCGATTTCGTGTATTCCTAAGCTTGACGTGCATCACTGTAGCTTTTCGAGGCCATGTTAGAGACGTTATTTTGTTCAGAAATGGAGGCTCATGTTAGCTTCCTGTCGTCGTGTTGTCGTATTGGAGGGGAGAAATTCGCGTCAAGGAGTGGACGGACCAAGTATCGTGTGGCAGATCATACTCAATCCATTTTGGCAGTGTTTCATCTCAATGTGGATGAAACCAAATACACCCTGAACTTTTTTGCCACACTTGCAAATTGGCCATGGAATGCACTGCTACTGCCAGGGGCCCAACATTCTCTGGAGCTCCAGAGGTGGATGTACACCGCTCAAAGACTGGGAGCCACACAGTGGGACAAACTGTTTGAAATGCAAGTCTTCCAAGCCTGGCAGGAAGTCCAAATGCAAAACACAAACGCAAGACAAACTTGCGGCATGGGAGAAAACGCGGGCCATCGCCCGCAAGCACGAGCACATGCACGCCGCCACCACTGACAGCAGCATCACCAACAAAACCTTGCCCCACCATACCAGTACCTGATCACTGGATAGTTTAGTCTGTTCGGTTTACGAATTCAAAAAAGGAAGACAAAAATAACAAAACTAAAAACACGAGCGTCGCATGGACCGAATCTGATGAGCAGCAGCACGTCACACCCGCATACCAAGTTAAGTAATAGTAGTAGTAGTATAGTATTTATTCATATTTCTCTAGGGCTTAGTGGGTAAATCTCTGCATCCAGAACAGTTCAGATAGGAATGCAATAACACACTCACAATGTCCACTATGTCACAGTGTCACAGGTAGGGAGAGAAGTGTTTGCAGCTTGCTGGTAGACGTTCAGCCGTGCATGCATTGGCAAATGGCTAGAGCAGACGGCCCGCTGCCCTTAATGTAAGGCACACACGCAAGCGTCAGAGCTACATCAGCCAAACAGCATAGTTTATGGATTCATGAAAGACTGCACCATACACTGCGCCAGCTCTGGTAGGGTGCCCTATTTGAGCATCGTCACTGGTCGGTGACGTTTTGCAGGCCTCACCATCAAAGATGCGAGGCGATGCTGCTGATCGACTTGCTGGCATGATAGTCACAAGCATAACTAACGAAGGATGGCTGGAAGTCGAAACCAGCTGTAGATGTAGATTCCAGGTATACCAGAGAATTACTGACGCCAGCACTTTATCCGATGCCCCATCAGCGTCAACTGTACGCCGATTGTCACAGGACCGTGACAGCCTTTCGACCGGTCTACGGTCGGGAGACGGGGCTGCAAGCCCAAAGCAGCGGGTATATAGTGTTCGTCACCAGCTGAGCAAGAGAGCTTGCTGAGAGATTTAGGTGTGCACTGTTCAGCAACCAGTCCCAATATAGGTTTGTCCATGAAGGCTGGTGATCCTCAGCTATCATACAACAAATTCCTACTCACTGTGCATATGCACATATGGCTTGTGAAACAGCAGCAGAAACTGCACTGCCTTGACAAACGCACCAGTTACCATGATGGAGCAGACATGCCCAGCCCTGAAAGCCAACACCAAATCTCCAATCGCTAGTACAAATAGCTCTTCACTATATCATGCCTAGTGCATGCTTGCAGTGATATTTTCAGCAAGAGCGCTGCAGTTACTGCTGAGGTGATGTATTGCGTCCTTGAAGTCGAAGGCGCTCATCAAAGATTTCTTGCCATCAATTCTTGGCCTTATGCAGGCACGAGGTGGTCTCCCGTGGCATTGGCCATATTACCCCGAGCTGCACTTGCTCGAGGAGCACGTTGTTTCGCTCATGGAAGTCCTTCGTGTTGGACTGAGTAGGCTTGCTGAGAGAAGAGAGCGCTAAATCCATCCACGTCCACAACTACGAATAATTTACAAAAACATTCCTACTGCAGATCAGCGCTTGAAAACGGCGATGCAAATCAGCGACGTTGGGCTTCTCCATTCAAAAGGAGAGCCTTCCTAATGAAGCAATTCTCATGTGACACAACATAGTCTCTCAAGCACTCTAGTTCAGGTCTTCTTCTCTCCACTCCATTATCATTTCGATCTTCACTCGGTCGACGTGATGGTAGTAGCTATGTAAATAATTATGACGGATTCCTCCCGATCCTCGTCGCGGCTAAAATTTGTTCGGTGTTTGTCTAAATTCTCAAACTGACAGGGTTTACAAGAGAAATGTACCTAATTTTGTTCGATTGATGCAAATAAATCGGAATATGTCCGACTTCATAAGTCCGTGCGGTAAACCGCATGAAAGGACGCCATGTCATTAGTTGGTGCACATGAAGTCACCGTGCCTAAGGTCTTCTTACAGGGTGCACAAGATGAATGAATGTGTTAAGTTCCTGGAGAAATGAATTGGGGGTTCGCTTGCGACTCAGTTAGGCTGAGTTTTCAGCATCCGTAGGAACGCCACCATCCTGCAAAAGTCAAAGGCGCCAATGCAGCTCCTAAAGAGGGGGGAGGTGAGTACAGTAGATCAGCCCACCAGCAAAGTGGAACAAAAATATTCGCTTAATAGCAAAATCCTGTGAAAGCCTATCCATAGTGTGAAAGCATTGACCCGAGTATCCCTTTCCTCCCAACCCGTACCCATCGTCAGGCACCGTATCAACTGTCGGGGTCAAAATCCTGCCTACAGTCCATTCATTGGAAACTGGCACCCCAACTTTTTGGTGTCTCTCTCACATAGTTTTAGATATCATGAAAACAACTGTACATCCTGCATTGTGTGACCCGTGCAATTACTCCTTGCCACATTTGAGGCCAGAAAAGTCCAAGAACAGGAAAATAGAAATTCAGCCAGGTTTTACAAAATTAGGACATGTATGCCATGGCAAAATGTATGGAGAAGCAGATCCAAAACCCAGAGTTTTTAGATTTAAAGTGGGTTTTTGATCCTCAATTCGGCCCAAATCCGACTTTTAAAAGCCAGCGGGCCAGTTTCCGATGAATGGACTGTAGTAAGAAGTATGGTAGTATACATCTCCCGCAATCAGGATACTGGTGCACCGCAGTGCTCACTGCACACCCCTAGGGAGTTGAAGCGGCGTACCGAGGAAGACGACATGAGTGACTGTAACGCTATACGTTGCGGGTTTCGACCCCGGGCACCCGTTGCAGCAGTCACCCTTGAGGTAGGGCTGGTTCATGTTGCTTGTCAGCATGTCTGGGCTGCGCTAAGATTCAACAGACGGCGAAGACGACTGGACGGTGTGCCGTGGCAGGATAGCGGGGCATCCAGGTCGGCCGAGAGGGTGGCAGGGGGCCACGGCAGCTCCGTCGCGGATCCAGAGTCGGCTGTGATGGTGAGGCTCAAGTTTTACGTCAACAGCCGGCGTTTGATGGCCTCCAAAGACCGGGGCGATCAGGAAACTGCCAACTGTGGCATGAGCTCCGAAAAGCGCATGTCGGGGGCACCACTATAGGGTTTAACGACGGCCCGACGATGACGACTACGATGGCCAACCGGACAACAAAGAAGTTGAGGCCAGAGAGAAAGATGTTTTTTTTTTTTTTTTTTTTTTTTTTTTTTTTTTTTTTTTTTTTTTTTCGTGCGCACACTTATGTATGGTGTGACGTAATCGTCAGAGTCAGGCCGCTACACCTGCACGCCTGAGGACTGCGCGAACGCACCTTAGTCTAGATGCTTGTGTGGTCACATGCTCTCTGTGATATCCACCAACTACATAGCACCACTCCCCATTGTACCTAACTGGCCGCTGACCGCGCGGTTCCATTTCATTCCATTGACATTGTGTATATGGTTGTATCTGCATGCTTCTCCTGTTCTTAGCCGAAACAAGGACAAGGATTGGACGTACAAGTGGACAAAGAAGATGCCAAACGTGCACCGCCATCGATGCACGCGTTATCGAACGAAAGCCTCGGAGAAGGCCACCGGCAAGAGGCGGGTGAGAAAGAGCACGGAGTTTGTCTTTTAAATAAAAATGGGGCCAAATTGACTGCATCATCCCGTGAAGATGCCATTTTTAGGGGATTTTCCCATTGCAAAGTCATGTCGCATGATGTGCATTCCCACCTTACACAGTGTGCGGAGCTTTGCAGGAAGGTGGGTGGCATCACGTAGTGACATCGGATACTGGTGCTGTACCCGGCGGCAAAGTCAGGCTCAGGCAGACTTTCTCCGATCGGCTCCGCCAATGGAGTGACAAGAGGAAGATGAATATTAAACGGCGAGGAGACAGTAATTTGATAACCGCAATCAATAAGACAAGCTGAATCGCCATTTCTCGCCATTTGTTTAAATATTTTATATCGAGATACACCCAGCCTCAGATAGATATTCGGGAGAATGAAACAAGAGAGCGTGTGTGGGCAGGCGTGTGTTTACCGCCATATTGCCAGGTGTGTCTTTACCACCATATTTATCAACCATAAGTACAGCTGCAGTGATGTCTTCAATTTCATTCTCCCGAGTCAAGCTCCGTATGAAGACATCCAAGAAGAAGATTGCCTGATGAGTCCAGCGGGGACGAAACGTACGTCGCAATCGAGCTATGCCGTTGCTGTGTCATCATCTATGTGCCATGCGCTACTTGATGAACCAGCCTGCTATGCCGGATACCACCAGCCACGCATCGACCAGGCGCCAGGCGCGAACTGATGGTGGTGGTGGTGAGAAGGAGAGCTCTGTGCCAGAACTTTGCAGCCTAGAGAGCGTGTGTGGGCAGGCGTGTGTTTACCGCCATATTGCCAGGTGTGTATTCCGATGTACTCCGTGTGGTGTAGACCAGGTGTGCATTGGGGGGTCGATTCACATGGCTTCGCCAGTTGTGTGGATTAGACAGTTATCTGGCGCTTGTCTTGATCTGTTTCAATATGAATCAGATCCGCTATCGTAGCTATAAAGAGAAAATCTGTGGGTGCACATCCAGTGCATTTGCAGATTTGTGTGCTTCTCTTGCGACGGGCGGATACATGGTACATGGTGTGTGTGTGTGTGTGTGTGTGTGTGTGTGCCAGCTAGTTCGGTTGGTGGGTACACTTATGCCTGATTGTGTTGGGTCTGTTGCCAACGGGCTCGGCTGCTTGAAGGTGTAATGTTGTGCCTGCCACCTTTGTTGGTTCCAGGGTTCGTATACTTTCTATTTGAAGTATACATACCTGCTAACCATGGACTGCTTATGGCTAGATTAACTCTTGTGTAATCAATGGTGCTAGTGAAGCTTATATCAGATCCACTCTGAATTAGCCACTCGCACTAGTAGTAAGTATTACCTTCACTGGGGGCAGGGGTAACTGCAGTTGGATCCTGGACGGATACCCTGATGCCGTTAATCCTTTTTCTGCACCTTGTCCTCACCTACTTACTGAGGTGTGGTGAGCCCATAAGTGGGATCATTTTGAAGTCCACCCAGATCGAGTTTTGGAGATTTCAGGGGGTGTCGGCCGTTGGGCGGTTCATTAGCCAATTGAGTCATCTTTCCAAGATTCCTGTTGAGTCTCTCTCCCCTCTCCCGGGGAATCCCACGTGACTAGTTTTGGCAGTGAGCAACAAGTACAAGTGTGTGTGTGTGTGTGTGTGTGTGTGTGTGTGTGTGTGTGTGTGTGTGTGTGTGTATGTCTGTGCGTGTGTGTGTGTGTGTGTGCATGTATGTGTGGTTGTGTGTGTGTGTGTGTGTGTGTGTGTGTGTGTGTGTGTGTTTGTGTGTGCATGTGTGTGTTTGTGTGTTTGTTTTGTGTCTGTGATCTCAGGTCGATCCAAAGACCGGAATCCACTTAAATCTCATGAATTTACATCCGAGTTGCTACCTCTCATGTACGACTTCCACCAAGAGCGTCTTGGAGTTAAATGTCAAGAAGCCAAACTCATCGATGCTGATCAGATCAAAACACTGGTTAGAATCCTTGAGAATAAAGGAGACAAAGCTCATGCTCATCAGCTTTGGTGTTTCCTGATTCCCAAGAGGCGTGCCGGCTTTGAGGCGCTGTGCGACGACATCGTTGATATGAACATCAGCACTGAATCTAACCGCCGATCGACAGAGATAAAGGATAAGCTGTGATTGCGGCATCAGCATGGCTTAAGGTGAGATTGGCTGCACGGATCTCCTAGATAGCTGGCCCCTTTTATAGCCCTAGAGTTGTGAAGAACACACTCCACAACCTCTGCCCATAGGAAAAGGAAACCTTCCGTCTGCTGAAAAGTGTCTTTTTTCACAAGCTCAAAATGGTGGGAAACCACTTTGTATTGTTGTTACACTGATTTTCATGGCAAAAGTGGCCAATCATCAGACAACAAAACGGATGCTCATGAGGGCACCTGGAAATATATTGGGGAGGACTCAGGGGCGTCAGAAGGTATTCGTCACGTTCGTGCGGCCATAAAGAGGCGGGAGTCGGGGCCCTTGCCCTCCTCCCCCCCCCCCGGGAAAAATTAGAAAACTGGCCCTAAATAACCCGTATTTTATTGCTTCAAAAGCATCCGAGTCTGACTATGAAATTATTGGTGCTGCTTTGGCGGCACCTGCCACACTGGTTCCATTGCACTGGCTCCAATGCGCCTAGAGGTGTGTTACAATTTTTCAAAACGGACCGGATGGGTAATAGTGGAATGCCTACCTGATGCAGGCGTGTAGAAACCTGCGGGACGGAATGGGCCACCGCGCACTGTTCTCCCGATCAGCCTGTACGTAGCACCAAGAGCGCACTGAAAGCGCCCGCCCCTTCCCCTCCAGTATGAGAGTACGTACCAATGATGTCATGCGCACTGGCATGACCCATGGCGCACTGAGCAAGGCACCCGCAACCCAGCGCCTAGTTTTGTACGCCTGTCAGGAGTTACAGTGCTGCTGCGTGAAATCGGATTGCGTGAAAATAAGCTTGCGCCCCGCGCTAGTTCACCGTCCCAATGTTCATGGGTCTAGTGTACTGGCCGTCACCGAAGAACTGGTGGGGGAGGGGGGGGGGGGGGGGGGGAGGGGGGCTCCCCCCTGAGCCTCCTAACCTATACCGTTCTTTAAAAAAAATGTAAAAAAATGTATTGCAGTCTATGCGCAGTTGAGTCACCGTGTATGCCATTATTGGTATGCTGTGCGTGGTAAAGTTCTAGCCTGGTCGTTCTTCGGCGCTGTGGTGCTCCACAGCGCCCGGAATGGCATTCACTGACTCATTGAGCACTACTGTACTTATATCTACAGTGATGGCAACTGAAATCCGACCTCCTGAGCGGTGGGTTCACATTCTAGCGGTCTCTGTTTCGTAGTTTTGCCATCCGGTGTTGAGTCTTTGCGCTGTGAGCGCACCGCTCAGGGAGTCGGATTTCAGTTACCAGTACTGTACATGCTGTCTTTTTCTCCCCGCATCTGCTGGGGCGGTATGGCCAGTTCACCATCTCATGCATGCATGACTGTGTACACGTGTGATCTGGAACCATGCTGGTGTGTCCGTGTGCAGGTCAAGCCAACCGCGCGGTCGCTTAGTGCGCCCTAGCCTACAATACCGTCGACATCAGCAGCAGGATTGCCGGCACCATCCCTGTTCCGTGTTGCTTAGACCAGCGGCTTAGACCAGCGACGTCCAGTAACCTGAGCAGACCAGGTTGGTGGAGAACTGCCTGCTGGAGAACTGCCTGCTGGAGAACTACCTGGTGGAGAACTACCTGCCTGGTGGCTAACTGCCTGTAGTCTGCCCTCTGTACTGTAACATACTTTGAGTATTACACTCCTAGCTGTCCGGAAAATCAGTGTGTAAGATATGTTTATTTTATTGTTCCCTCGAATTAATGAATATCTGTATATACCAGAGGAAACAAGCATTTGTCAAACCACGAGTACTATTTTTTCAATTACTCTCCAGACAGCTTGGTGTTTCGGCCATCTTAGGTCCCTTGAGCGGAGCTGAGAGTTTGTCATTGGCCGAACAGATTGCGAGAAGTCCTGTATACACAAAGCTTGCTTTTAAAAATTGACTCTTGTACATACTACATGCATTTCGCTGTTGAGTATTTCGCTCCTGCTCTTGTAGCAGTTGAGCACTCTTGTGTGGGGCAGTGCCTTTGCTGTTTGCGTTATGCAGAGCTCACTGACTTGTCAGTTTGAGCACTCTGGCAAGGTTCGTTCGGGCACGGTTTAAATCTGGCTTTGAAAGTTTCATTTTTTATTGCTATCAGGTTCGGCCTCATTTCCTCTGTGCTGCGCTGAAGAGTCCACAAAGGACGAAACAGTTCTGTCCGCAGATTGACTACATGTACTACATACTAGTACGTACGTATGCTTGACATTCCTTGTTGTCCTCAAATTGCTGCCGGTGATTGATGCCGACGTGTTTCTGTGTTAACTTTATTTTTCACTTCACCACCATTGGGAGCAGGCCGCATTACTGTCACCCAGTATTCATAAAGCTTGCTCTCGCGTCACATGGTCTAAGAATATACAGACGCCGCAGCGTTCGTTGCCAACACCTAGCATGCTCGTTTTTGTTTGTTTGCGTGTAGCTGTTTCCTGTGTGTTCCCCAGTGCCGAAGGGCACATCGGAGTCACTCGCTCTTTGACTTGTCTAGCCGTGTTTCGTGTACCTTAGTCCCCGGTCACACTAAGACAAGAATCAAAGAAACGCTGCGGCGTTTTCCGCTGTTGTCACTCACGGCAATCATGGCTGCAGCGGCAAAAAGCTGCGGAAAACCCGAACAGACAGCTAGTGTTTTCCGCTGCATGGCACATTCTCAGCGCCAAATTGCATCATTGTCAGCGCATGAATGCAGAAAAAGCCCAAAAGAAGTCGAAGAACGCTGCGGCGCGCAAGTGCAGTGTGACCGATAGGGAAATAGTTGCCGCTGTTTCCTATTTGCCGCAGCAGCGGAAAACGCTGATTTTTCTGCCTCCGTGTGACCGGGGCCTAACCAGCAATCTCCACTAGACTAATGTGTATATTATTATGACTGTGCAGTTAAACCTGTCTTAACCGGACGCCCTTGGTGCAGTGGAAACTGTCCTGACCTGACAGGATTCCGCTTGACCCAGGGATGCACGTTCGATCCACAGCACGTCGGTGCATGACCATTATTATTATTATTATTATTATTATTATTTTTCTTCCAGTCAATACAGGATTCCGCTTGGTACAGGGTCTGGTAAACACAGGTTTTACTGTGTGTATTTGGTCACGCTTGGTCGGTAGTATAAACGGAGGTTTGCCGTAACGCGGTCCAGCTACTTGCAAAATCCAGTTTATATTCCGCGACGCAGATATTGCCAGTTTAGAGAACAACCACTCCATACCCTTCAAAAGCAATAATCAAAATATTCGAAATTGGCAACAAAATTGGGTAGATATTAGTAGATATAACGTAAAAGTACTCTCCGAGCCAGCTCGGGTCTGACCTGGCAACATCAGCAATGATGTATCATGATGCAAGTGAGCCATGGCAGCGAGCGGTGACAAAACAGCCAAAAACACGCAGGCAAAGTCAGGCAAAGTCTCAAACACGATCAGAGGAGTGACTGCGGAATGGCTCGACTGGTTTTCTCCATAGCCTCCTTGAGTACACGCAGCACCAGGTCCACATTGTCTCGAGTACAGTTGTAACCCATCAAGCCGACGCGCCACACCTAGTAAGTACAGAATAACAGGACAAGGCCAGCAGTTACTCGCGAAAGCCAACAGAAAAGTGAAAAGGAGGGCTGCCACTTGTTCTGATTTTTCGGAAACGCTCTGATTTTTACAGGTCTTTTTCACACACACACACGCCTCACCATATACTCCGGCATGCACTGGCTGTTGGTAACCACCCAGGAGAATGAAAGAAGAGCATGGAGAATGAGAAAGAGAAGAAAGAAGTGTGCGATCATAATCGTCGGGAATTGAACCCGCAACCTGTCGATCGGAAATCGACGGCACATACCAGTGCACCATATAGGACACACATACACACACACACACACACACACACACACACACACACACACACACACAAAATGTAGTAAGCCCGCTGCACGAGCACAGACAGCGCAAACAAAACATCAACCGTTCTCAAATAATTACCTTGCCAGCCGACGGACCAAGACCACCAGCAATCTCCAGTCGATATCTATGGCAGTAAGAAGAAAAAACAGCACAAGAGTGGCCAAACAAACAACACTGGTTACAGAGAGAGAGAGAGAGAGAGAGAGAGAGAGAGAGAGAGAGAGAGAGAGAGAGAGAGAGAGAGAGAGAGAGAGAGAGAGAGAGAGAGAGAGAGAGAGAGAGAGAGAGAGAGAGAGAGAGAGAGAGAGAGAGAGAGAGAGAGAGAGAGAGAGAGAGAGAAAGAGAGCACCAGTGCAGTGCAGACAATCCACCAACAGAATCAATGGTGACTCACTGACCACAACACTACGAACTGCACAAAAAAAGTTATGAAATTACATAGGCTCTCGTAACGTGCTGTGGCGATTGACGGATACTGCACAAATGGAAAATTTAGTTATTGAATATTTTAGTCCCAATAAGCCAATGGGCGCAATGACGTAATTTGTACCATACACACCCCACACAGCCACCTGGGCATGGTCGTGGGAGATGTTGGACAGTGCAAAACGTATCCCAGCGTACGCACATGCATTACTCATACCTTCCATATTTGGCAATGTGCAATGGGCTTATCCAAAGACAGGCAGCTTGTCACATGGAAATTTTCGGCGACGAATGCTGATACATACCAAATTCGCCAGGCAACTCGACTTTATTACTCCATTTGATTTAGCCTGAAAGCTGGCTCGATGAAAACGACGAAATTTAAAAATTCCACGCGAATTTGTTTGCGTAAGCAGTAGTGCATCCAAAGACCGTGCACGGCATTGTCTTGGATGGTTTGCGCCTTGCACGATTTCGCAGCCTTGCAGTTCGCAGGTCTATGGCTGCGCAACGCCCGGCGCGTACTTGAGTGACGCTGCGACTGGATTTCTTTGATCAGCACTGTAGAATCCTGTGCATTGCCAGTTGGAGACATGATCAGCACATGATACAGTTCCCAACCCTCCAGTAAACACACGGAACTTGCCAAAAGCAAGCGGCATTCAGGATGTTAGAGTGAACAGTGCTGATCCAGGATTAGGACTGGTGTTGCTCTCTAGCCACACTACAAGTAGATACAATCAAACCTATTAATTTTAGGATGAACACCAAGGGACCAATGGTATCTGTTCGCGATCATGAGAGTTCTTCTTATCCATATTTTTTACCAAGGGAACAAACAGCGTACGGCAAATGTACTGAAAGTTATCGACAGCATGGGTGAGGTGATTCCACTCCCCCGATTAGCCCCGGTGCACGAGACCAGGGCTAGGAGGAGTAACTAGTGGAACGGATGTGCACACGTACGCGCGCACGCACGCACACACACTGAGAGATAGAGATAGAGAGAGAGAGAGAGAGAGATAGAGAGAGAGAGAGAGAGAGAGAGAGAGAGAGAGAGAGAGAGAAAGAGATAGAGAGAGATAGAGAGAAAGATAAATAGATAGATAGAGAGAGAGTGCCCGCCTCGGCGATGTGAACATGTACCGTACGTTCGGTCCATGGAACATACACGTATATGGTTATGACGTCCTTCGCCACCGGTAGAGGTGGAGAGAATCACTCCCTGTCCCAGTGTGCACCACCAACACGTCAATCGAGTACAGTGGACCTCACTTAGCATGTACTCTGACAAGATATACTCTAGCTTAGTACGGACATTGTCCGGAGCACCGGGTGAATTGATCCATACTGAAGCACGTTAAGATATTATAAAGAATTAGTGAAATTTCACGCATTTTCGGTGTACATGTACTTTTATATTCGGTACTTTCGGTGTATCTGTTCCATACCTAAAATTTCAATACACCGAACAAACACTAACACACACATAATCCAATAGGGAACTGCTTCTCTGTACCTAAATTTTCTGTTCACCTAACCTGGCCTTTACCGTCATACCAAAAATATTGAGCACCTGAAATGTTTGAACTTAGAGTACATTGGCTGCTACGTACATGTGCAGTCAACTTCGCTTATAACGACACTCGGCGGGGCGTCAGAAAAGTGTCCTTATTCGCGAAGTGTCGTTATACCCGAAGTCTCATTATGTGTCACAGTTGGATGGGACTTTGCTCTGGGCATGGAAATTCTGTCGTTATTGGCGAATTGTCGTTATATCCGCAGTCGTCATTAGCCAAGTTGACTGTACACCTTCCTGGCACCCATGTGAGTGCATCTCATCAGAGTTTCACTGTGTTTAATAGACTTACTCTTTATTAGCGTAGTCCGACACAGCCTTCCAACTCACACCCTTCGGCACTGTGATGACGTTCACGGTGGGCAGACGATTGTGCTGCAAAAACAACGGGCAGTGAGTCAGCAAAGACGGCCAGGGAAACACATTAGGAAGTGCGCGCCTACACACACGCACACTCACCTCAGAAATTCTGCTGAACATGTGCCTCCCCCCCCCCCCCCCCCCCCGCACACCTCTCTGCAGAAATGCTTGTATCCAACCTCATGAATATAATAGCACCGGGCGCAATGCGGCCCTAGCACCACACACGCACACACACACACACACACACACACACACACACACACACACACACACACACAAACACACCACTTTGTTCACTTGAAAGCGGCACTACTTTATTCATGAGGTCGGATATCTCTGGTCCAGGACTGTAGCATGTCTGGGGTTTGCACCAGCGTACAAACAAGCCCAGCCAACACAGCAAGGGCGGCGCGAACGGTGCACGTTCTCTCGTTTCTCACCTTGTTGGCGACCGCCATGGACATGTTCATCCGCTCCACTCCGCTCCACAGGCGCTGGGCATTGCTGGCATGCCTCTCCCACATCGTCTCGAGGCCCTAGCAAGGACACAAGACACGTTCACGCGGAAGACAAAAAGAGCGGATCATACACGCTCCTCTACAAGCTCTGCTGCTTTTTGAACTCACACGAAAGTCTCACACGTCACACGGAGCTGCACAGACCAAGGATATTAGCACAACAGTGTACTAACTTAGAGACTTGATTGCTTCACGGACACGAGCACGCACACACCATGCGAACCTCTGTTTCCTACCGCACATTCTGCACATCGCTGGACGCCAATTTCGGGCATATGGACGCAAGCTTAACCCGTTGCGTGCTGAGTACGAGTTAACTCGCACTTTATGCATGACCTGATCCACTACGTACGAAAAAAATTCGCCCGATATATCGCAGTGCATAGACCAGTGTACAAACTTTGGTAACTTCGTCAAACATAAACGTATTGCAACAATCAATACACCGTTGGAAAGGTCTTGACCTCATCTTTCCGCGGATATAAAGTTCTTCGCGATAGGATAAGAATTCATTGAGCGGTGACAAGATGAACACGGAAATCACGCCCAGAGTGAAGGCGAATTTTTTTGTTCATGACTTCTTTTTGTTGAGGAGCGTGCCGGGGGATTTCCCTTTGGCACGGCGCATGTGTGATGGACATCGAATGAAGCGCTTGGATCTCAGCTTTGCAGCGCAGTTTGAATTGTGAACATCGATTGAATTTGGGCAAGATGCCGAACAAGAATGTGAAATTGAGTTGTGCCGTTCCGAGACACGGTGGAGTAGTTTGGAGAGGACGTGGAAGTTGCCCTGATGTGTCTATGGAGCTGAGAGCTGCCAGGATGGATTCGCTTGGTCCTGATCTTTCCAACGAGCTCAGGACGATGAAAATCCATCGAGGTGGAGTGAAATGAGAATAAATTTCGTTCGGAGCTGTGAGTGCATACTCCACCAAGAGAGTGAGTGCGCTGGAAAGCCAGTGGATTGGAGAAAAGGGGCTCAGCATGCAAAGGGTTAAACCCCCCCCTCCCCGTCGGGATACGATCCATCCTAAGTCGGAATATGCCGGGAAGCAAGCCGGAAAAGACCTAGGATATACTGTAATTTCACAAATTTTGGTCTATTTTTTATTTTCGGTACTTTCGGTGTGTCTGTTTCCTACCTGAAATTTCAATACACCGAACAAACACTAACAAATGTAATCCAATAGGAAACTGCTTCTCTGTACCTAGAATTTCTGTTCGCCTAACCTGGCCTTTTGCCCTCATACCGAAAATATCGATGACCGAAAATTTCTGAAATTAGAGTACATCGGTACTGTACTCGTACTGGTGATGACTGGCCTAGATTTACTGGAAAAGCAGAAATTTTCGGTGGTGTCATATTTTCGGCATTCTCCAAAATCGGCAGTTCGGTGGAGGGAAATTTTCGGTAAAACCCGTTTTCCAGGTTAGTGTGTTAGTACTAAATGTATACAGTACCAGTAGTACCGAAATTTTCGGTGCGTTTTATTTTCGGTAAAAATTGTCGGCACCGAAGTTACCGAAAATATAACACCACCGAAAATTTCTGCTTTTACAGTATAATTCAGACATGGAGGATTGTGTTTCATTGTTATTACCTGACGATGGCCAAGTGCCGAAACGTAAAATAACGGAACTGGTTCGGATGTGCGGCGCTAGGGGAATGGGTGTGTCCACCCGAATTCCTTTCACAGATGAAGCTGCATGAAGCCTCAGCCCTTCTTCAAAGGAGGATTGTGTGTTGCGAGATTTCATCACTGAAGTCACTACAGTACTGCGGAGCGCCGAAGAACGAGCAGGCTAGGATTTCACCAAGCACAGCACACCAATGTACGCACGGTGGCGCAACTGTGCATAGACTACAGTAAAACCTGTGACTAATGACCACCCCTTGGGGCTTGGGCCCAGAGAAAGCGGTCTTTAGTGGCAGGTGGTCCTTTGTTAGAGGTTTGCACCGCACAACCATAATGAATGTGAGACCGTCCGTGCCCGGATAAGTGGTCTTTAGTGCCAGGCTGGTCGCTAGTCACGGTGGTCTTTAGTTACAGGTTTTACTGTACATGAAAAATAAGAACGGTCTACAGTGCATTTCAAAACTATAGACGCGTAGGGTTTTTGAAATATTTCAAATTTGGCTGGAACTTTTTGAGAATAGTTTTCGGAATATTGCTCAGGATCGCTCCACAATTACTCTCATATAGTTTCTAAAGGATTGGATAACAGACGCCCAATTTGGAAAAAATTATGCACAAAGTGATCACAGATTTTATGTGGTATAGATGCTGGCATAACGGTTTTTGCCTAGGTACGCGTCTATAGTTTTGAAATGGACTGTAGGCTACAACGTAACAAGGCTGACCTCAGTTCTTCGGCGATCGACAGTACTGTATTTCGACTTCATAAATCAACCATGCTGTCTGTGCAAATCAACCATGCTGTCTGTGCAAATCAACCATGCTGTCTGTGCAAATCAACCATATGACTTTAAGTACCTGCACCTGCAATGCTACAGGACATATTCGGCATGCGTGGCACGTGTATAAAACGGCCGCTCATCCGTCACCATCAGATCACGCGGTACCTGTCACGGCGACCACTCTGATACGGTGACCACCTGCCCCAGAGGACCACCAGAACTAAGACCAAGGGATGTGATTTCCCAGTCAAATGACCCTGGATAAGGAGACCGGCTGTACACGGTGACCAAAATTTAAAGGTCCCTTGAGCGGTCGGGTTTAGACGGGTTTCACTGTATAAGCCAACAACGTCCCACTGCTCTGCGTGCATGAATCAAGCAGCAGGCAAGCAAGGCGGCTGGATCCTGGCCTCGTCTGACGTGCCCGTACACCATAGCAAATGAAATGTCACGGTTAAACATAATACTCACCTCTTCAGCAACGATGGACAGGCCTTCGCGCAGCGCGTAGTACGAGTTGATGGACGCGGTGTGATGATACCTGGACACAAACACGGGGGAAGGGAGGGAATTTCTCAACTCAACTGATGGCTCCCAAGCAGAACAAAAGAGATGGATTTTCTGCAACACTGAGTGAAAACTTGCCGGGGCCTAAAAAGCAGCACAATCGAGGTAATCATCGCACAACACGGCATGGTCCAAAGGCCATCTAGTGTGTGAAAACGAAAAAAGAAAAGACTTTGACTTACAGGGAAACAGCAGTACAGTCAGACATCGCCTATCCGGTCCTCTTTTATCCGGATCCCTCCATCTGGAAAAAATCGTCGGTTACCGATTCACAGCATATGTCATGCATACATACAGTATGTGTGTTCGAGTATCCGGTTCCCTCGCCTATCCGGGTATTTTCATGGAAAACGGATGTGTGTGGAAAAGCGAGGTCTGACTGTATAACATACCTCCTAGAACTGTAAAATCGGTATTTTATAGCCATGAAAGGTACTGTGTACATGTACGTACTTTCTGGATCCGCCGCCTGGAAACGCCCAGTAAGTGCCCAGCTCTCTGAGGTCAAAGTAGAATGAAGCGAGCGGCTTCTTTCTCGCGCAGTATTTCCGCCTGCAAAATTAATAAAGACCACGCATGTGTCCGAGCACGCGCCAAAACGCATACACCCACATGTGTACACACACACACATACACACACATGCACGCACGCACACACACACACACCCACGCACGCATGCAAACACGTGCACACAAGAAAGCAGCCATCAACAATAAGGAGCCAGTGTTGACAATGGCATACAATAGTTCAGCGAACGTCAGTACTTGGATTACAGTCAACTTCGCTGATAACGACTGCGGATATAACGACAATTCGCGAATAACGACAGAATGTTCATGCCCAGAGCAAAAAGTCCCATCCAACTGTAACACATATAATGAGACTTCGGGTATAACGACACTTCGCGAATAAGGACACTTTTCTGATGCCCCGCCGAGTGTCGTTATAAGCGAAGTTGACTGTATGTGCGCTTCAAGTACACTCAATAGACTGCTGTGCTGTAAAAGCAGAAATTTTCCGTGGTGTAATATTTTCGGTATTCTCCAAAATCGGCGGTACGGTGGAGGGAAATTTTCGGTAAACCCGTTTTCCAGATTAGTTTACTAGAACCAGTACAGAAATTTTCGGTGCGTTATATTTTAGGTAAAAACTGTCGGCACTGAAGTTACGGAAAATAAAACACCACTGAAAATTTCTGCTTTTACAGTACGTAGCATTATGAAGTTGAATGACATGGCTTTGCTGCGGGGCACTCTAATCAGTGCAACGCTATGCTGAATGACCAAATCAATGGTCAGCGCCGCCAATCAATATTCACACGTAGGCTAATGGATGAATGCGTGCAGACGCACATACTAGTGCTCGCCCACTTGCTTGTCTGCATGCAGGTGGCAATAAGCAACGAGAACAGATACGTACGCGAGACTCTCTTGGACTTGGACTGGCACGCGCCTCCTCTCAATTCAGTTTCCTTTTGAGCTTCTGACCCCGCCGCAGGAACTCGGTCAATTTCACATGGAGATCCTGGATTGACCAGGGCACTCTGTCACTAGACTAGACTGTGGCCTCGAGAAAATATGAATACTTCGAAGTACAACAACATGCACATTCCACATCCGCGTGCACACACACACACACACACACACACACACACACACACGTCTCACTAACCATGCCCGGGGACTGAACGATACTGGTGCCAAGCCCGACGGACAATTGAGCACTTTCTGCGAACCCGTGTACACGGCGTCCACACCTGCGAGCAGACAGAGAGATACGCACAAGCACGCACACACACACACACACACACATGCACACGCAGACACAGCCACACACAGACGAGCACACACACACACAGACGGGCACACACACAGCCATGGACATAAGGACTCTAGAGAGGCAACCAGTCTCGCATGAAGTCCACGAACAGTATCCCATGGAAACGACAGAGTGGCGGACACTTTCCACTGTTTCTCGGGGTAGTTCCACCACTCAACGGGTGGTAGAAAGTCTGCCACTACTGTACAACAAGCCAACACAGACAGTACAACACTACACGGGGACATATGACATGATTTCGGAATGGATGTGGTCTACACCTCAGCGTGACCAGCTGTGCTGGCAGCTATGAGCCCATCACCTAACGCAATCCGTAAACTAACCCCATCTGTCCGTGAAGAAAGGCACGGCTCCTAGAGATGCCACCGTATCCACCACAAGAAGACAGTTGTACCTGTACAAGGATAGTAATAGCAGCAGTAGCAGCAGCAGCACCACCAGCAGCAGCAGTGGCAGCAGGAGCAGTGGCAGCAGGAGCAACAGCAGCAGCAGCAACAGCAGTGGTAACAGCAGCAGTAGCAGCAGCAACATCACACAATATTGCTCATTTAATCCACTCTTCATGGGCTTTCTGCTTTCTTCCGCTACCTTGCCGTTTTTGTACCCACCGCCTACGGACTCATGTAAACTCAGCCAGCCATTCAGGTCAAAGGCGATGAACACGCATACCAATCCAAAAAACATACTATCGGATCAGCGTTGCCTGCACAGCCAGGACTACTGTAAAAGCAGAAATTTCCGGTGGTGTAATACTTTAGGTTTTTTTCTGCAAAATCAGCGGTTTGGTGGTGGGACATTTTTGGTAACGAGGTTTTCCAGGTAAGTGTACTAGTACTAGTACCGAATGCGTTTTATTTTGGGTGAAATTGTCGGCACCGAAGTTACCGAAAATAAAACACCACCGAAAATTTCTGCTCTTACAGTAATACTTGGTAAGCGGGTGGAGAAAGGCAGCCAGTCAACTGAGTTCCAAACGAGTGATGATGTCATGCATGAGTAACAATAGATAAAGGTAGAGTACAGAACACCATGTCAGAATGGCAGGGGGGGGGGGGGGGGGGGCACTAGCAAACGTATGCCAACACAATCAACCTACCCAACTGATATGATAGTTTTGCAATCAACTCACAAAACCCTTAAAATTACAAGGCCAGATTAGAAAGCACACAGGAACAGAGTAGGATTTCTGAAATCGCCAGAATTCCTTCACACTCCATACACTCGCACGTTCACACAAAGTCAATGCCCCCCCCCCCCCCCCCCCCCCCCAGACATACGCACAAACAAAATTATGCACACGAGGGACACCCACACACACACCATGTACCACAAACACACAAACATACATCTGCAAATAAGCACCCACCTCGTTGTAGAAGGTAGCCATATTCCCATTCAAGAAGCAACCCTGGCTAACCAGCAGGCAAACAGGCATTATACCACGGTACATGAGTGTATCAGGACTGGTAGTGGTGGGTTCAGCAGGGTACATTGGTTGATTCCCATCACATTGTCCTTCTACCAAGTGTTTCCGCCTGGTGCACTTTCGCACACAAACATGCATGTGCATCAAAAGCAATCCTTTCCACTCTGGCAATTATTATTGTTGGCAGAAGTGGGGTTCCAATGCTCGCCCCGGGAGATTCCCTCTGGTAATTAGTTGGCAGTAGTGGGGTTGGAATGCACGCCCTGGAGAGATAGGGAACTCGGCCCCGCTGCCCAAGCACAAATACAGTGTGTTCGCTGCCTGGCCATGCCAGACTCACAGTCGACACAGAGAGCCGACCCAGTACAAATACAGTGTCTTCAGTGTCTGGACATGCCATGTCATGCGGGCCATGCCAGACTCACAGTCGGCAGAGAGAGCCGAGACTCTCGACAGGCTGCAGAGTGCCAGCCGACGACTCTCCCTGCGTGATGAACATCACGCTGGGACGGTGAGCCTTCAGGGCCTGACGAGGGCAGCAATCAGCAGTACCAGCAACAGCAGCAGCAGCAGCAGCAAGACAAACAATCATGCGCGCAAACAAGCACACGCAAGCACCCGAACAGAGAAAAACAAGCTGTAAACCAAAGCTTTGTTACATGCAAATGTGTTACACTCCAAGTGAAGAATAATGTATATCTACCAAAAAGTAGGGTAAATGTGCTTCACACTGAACTGTTTTACTGTACTGGGCAGAATAACAACACCAAAACACCATAACATCACAACACTACAATGCTGCAATACCACACGCTTGCAATCATCTCAAGTCAACAACATACCGTCTCGACCTCGTCCGCACTAAAAACTTCGCCGACGGGCTTGGTAAGTTGCTTCGGAACGCCTCCTGAAAGACGCACACACATGTCCCCAAACACACACACACACACACACACACACACACACCTGTCCTGTCCTGTCCTGTAGAGTCACTGCCGCAAAAGGGTCACGTGATCCCATCACTGGGAAACTTGAGAAGAGAGAGAGAGAGGACACGACGCTCGATGACGCTCCAGGTGCACGGGTAGTCGCATCCGCTTGCCGCATATGCACACGTGCTGGAAGGCTGAGCGCTCCGCTGCTGTTGGTCTATGAGCCACCCTTGAACAGCGATGCCTTCCCCGTCCCCGGACACCGCGAAAGCAGCGACCACACCTGTCACAATGCGCGGCACAACATCCCTCCGCCGGTGCCGACGCTCCGGTAGTTCCAGGTGGCACTGCGGCATCCACCGTTGAGGCACACACATGCCGGACCAAGCCACCGCGGCTTCTCAGCCACCGCCCACACCGCCCGCACTGACTGGCGCCCCGCTGCTCAGACACAGGCCGCGCACGCTCCTCCAGACACTTATGCCGAGCCATGTCTCCTTTCCGTGCAAAATCCCGTCCGCATACCGTACATACCACTCGGGGCGGAGGCTCAGGCACATTGTCAGGCTCTTGGTAGGTGCTGCGCCACTCCGCGCGAGACTCACATGCAACATCATACCATGATGCCTCCACGCCACGGGCACGTAGATCTCGGACAGCACAGTCCTTCCATCTGCGGCGTGGGCCATGTGCTGGGCGACGCTGCAAGAAGGAGCCAAACAGTACCTGTTTTGGGATGCGGTTGTCCGGCATCCGCGCCACATGCCCCAACCACTCCAACCGCCGATGTGCAATTTTGTCTTTAATCGTCTCGGAGTCTCCCCAGCGCACCAGTAGCTCTTCATTGGTGATGTGTTCGTCCCACATCCGGCTTCGAGAGACCCCGAGGATGGATCGGATGCACCTCATGCTGAAGGTTGAGAGCTTCTGTAGGTCATGCTGAAGGGGCGTCCAGCACTCAGAGCCATACAACAGCAGGGACAGAACGCAAGCATTGAATACGCACCGCTTGGTGTGCATCAGCAGATGTGGATTGGAGAATACAGACCTCCGAAGAGCACCGCAGGCCCTGGAGGCTTGGGCAATCCTTGCGGCGATGTCCCGAGACGAACGGCAACCGCTGTCCACTACAGAACCGAGGTATTTGAAATGCGGTACGCATTCCACCTCCGCTTGACCAAGTTGGAGGGGAGCGCGGTCAGTAAGCGTGATGCCGGGGCCAACAACTACAAACTGAGTCTTCGTTGCACTGATGGTCAAGCCGAATCCCGACGCCACCTCGTGAAGACAGCACAATGCTGCCCCCGCTCCAGACCGAGTCGTAGCGAATAAACAAGAGTCGTCAGCAAACTGGGAATCTGTTAGGCAATGGTGTTGGTCGTCACGGCGGGGTTTACGGTATAAATCGCTGCTGTATGCTGAGCGGAGCTCGAAGCCAACCCCGTCAACTCTCTTGACGCGGTGTTGCCACTGGGTCATCACGGCCCACATAAAGATATTAAAAAGGACCGGCGCCATAGAGCACCCCTGGCGAAGACCATTGCCAATGCTGAACGGGTCTGATAATATGTTGTTGAACTGCACCGATGCTGACATGGGGTCGTGGAACGACCGGATGATGTTGACAAGCTTTTCTGGTACTCCCGCACGGCCGAGGACCTGCCACAGACACCCCCTGGGCACTGAATCATAGGCCTTCTTCAGGTCGATAAACACAAAAAATCCCTTGGCCTGATGTTCGATTGACTTTTCCATGAGCTGTCGGACGGTGAAGATCATGTCAGAGCAGCCACGCCCTCGCCGGAACCCGCACTGGGACTCAGGGAGAAATTCCTCTGCGAATACCTGCAGTCTTCTCTGAAGGACACTCGCCAAGACCTTGCCGACCACATCCAGCAACGCAATGCCCCGCCAATTGTCGCACTGCGACAAATCTCCCTTCTTTGGAATGGGGATGAGGGTAGCATCCGCCCACTCCCGCGGAACGCAGCCATCTCGCCACACATCTCCAAACAGCTCCATGAGCTTGTTGTTGAGCTCCTCGCCACCGAACTTTAGCAACTCTGGCTGTATCCTCGATGAACCAGCAGCGGTGCCATTGCGAAGTCGAGAAACACACACACACACACACACACACACACAACCACGAGTAGGCAGGGAGGCAGGCGTACACAAGCACGCAAACAAGAACAAACAGTATGTAACAAAAGCCTGTCACGCCTTTTCGTCAGGTGGAGCATTCGACCATTGGCTATTTCCACTGCAGACCCAAGCACCAAGGAGTTCTTGCTGAAGATGCCAAAACTCCACAACAGACACAGAGATGAAAGTGTACAGACAAGAAGACGAACACACAGACAGACAGACAGACAGAGGGGCGGACAGACAGACCGACATACGCTAACGCACTAGCACACCCACACACAGACACACACACACAAAGGCTCATCCCCTCACCCAATCTAGTCACCAGGTTGCTGGCGCGCTGTCCCCACAAGCCGTTCGTCGCCACCAGCACGACATCCCCGACATCCACCAGGTTACCAAGTGTCACCTCCATCCCGGCATGTCCAGAGCCGTCCACAACGAACGTGATCTCATTCTGAGTCTGGAAAGCGTAGCGCAGACCAGCCTGCAGCAACAACATCCATACCTGCTCATCTCACTATTACATTCCCTCGTCCTGATTTGTTTGACCTTTCTTTCTGGTTAGTGCCAAAGGTGCTGTAGCGGACAGAGAAATCCGTAGGGAAGTCAAGGGGGCCACGGGGTGCTGGCCTTGCAGCCGCGAGCACTGCTGGTCCATTTTTACAATGTGTTTTTGTGAACTACAGTGCATGTACGCGCTAAAAGCAGTAAGGCCCCGGCCGCGGTCATTCCATTGGATTTCAATCTCTACGACAGTATCTATCTGCCTTAGTGCGAATCCCGCTGTGTTTCGTTTCTCGCTACCAGAGCACGCGACTTTGAAGGTACGAGCCAGTTTCAAAACGCTTTGTTGTTCACTACATGTAGAGTGCAGTGTGAGGTCAGTCACCCTGAGCTAAGCTGATGAGACCTGACAAGGTCGCAACGGCTACGCGTTGCTGTACGGAAACCGAGCGCACCTCCATCATACTGTTGGCGGTCTCTGAGCTAGCCGCACACATACTCTTTAACACTCTTCAAACGGTCTCTGGGCTATACCAATAAAAAAAATCGGTTAACTTAATTTTTCAGTGATTGCTGTTGCCCAGAGACCGCTTGCAGAGTGTTGTGTGTGCTTACAATGGATGGGCACAGTGGAGTCTGCGCACGTTGAAAAAGGTCTCTGGGCTACACCAATCAAAGGAAACATACTACACTGTACTGTAAAACATGTCATTTTAGGTGTATTAAAATTTCCGGTGTCGGGAACCTGCCAGGTTTCAGGTGTAATTTAAAATTAGGTGACCAGCATTCCCTGCGCATACAGTGCATACTCTGGTGCCTTTTAGGTGTAATCTAAATGTACAGTCCATTTCAAAACTATAGACGCGTAGGGTTTTGAAATATTTCAAATTTGGCTGGACCTTTTTTGAGAATAGTTTTCGGAATATTGCTCAGGACCGCTCCACAATTACTCTCATATAGTTTCTAAACGATTGGATAACAGACGCCCAATTTGGAAAAAATTATGCACAAAGTGATCACAGATTTTAATGTGGTATAGATGCTGGCATAACGGTTTTTGCCTAGGTACGCGTCTCTAGTTTTGAAATGGACTGTAGGTGCTTGTTTTCTCTGCCGAAATCACCGAAATTAAAGTTACACCGAAAATATCGTATTTTACAGTATTCGTATGTTTAGGCCCGTCAGGCCCAATACATTGGTGTGGTCCACAAACCGTCAAAGAGTGTGATGAAGATGCAGCATGGATATAACGTAAGGCTGCAGTGGAGTCTCGGCATCTTGAGATATACACCAAAACCATGAGCACATTGGATGGCAGTACATATCTGAAGTATGCAGATGCGAGCATGTACACCCCCCCCCCCCGGGACGGACAGTAGCCCAATGTGCCCGAGAGAGTCAATGCTGATTCGATGCAGTGCGCGATGCCGACCTTAATTAATTTGCACCAACTGCTGAGGGTACTGGAGGGATGACAAAAATTTTCTCAATCATATAGTTACAATAATAGAGAGGTTCTGCAAAACGAAAATGTGTACGAATTTTCGCTCTACGTCACGAAGTGAGAAACTTCGCACGAACTTTCGCAACTTTGGACGCGAAACTTGCAGGGAACGCGAAATGAACTTTCGTAGGATGTTTCGTGAGATTGGGTCATGTCGTACGTGCACTTGGCGCGTGCAAACTACGAAAATGTGCAGAACACAAAGTTCGTGCGAAAATTCGTACACATTTTCGCAAGGCCTGTCGCGAGACTTCGTTCGAATTTTCGTTGTGCAGAACCTCTCTAATGACACTGTAGCTTGCCAAAAACTTAAGCAAGCACACGCATACCATCCTCGCATGATTAGTGCCCGTGGGGCACTATTTTTTTCAATATCCATCACAGATGAGACACTATTCAAGAGAGGGCACAAATCAAGAGAGGGCACTATTTTTTTCAATGCTGGTACATTTTACTTCATCCAGCATAAAAACAAAGAAGAGAAAACAGAGCCTACAGTTTGCTGTAAACTATCATGACTCAACATAAACGGCAACATAAACTGCCATTGTGATCTTGAAATCACCAGTGCAATGAGATGGCCAAGTACATTCGCAGAAGAACACCAAACGTGCACATGTAAGGCTTGGCTACAACCGGGGGGGGGGGGGGGGGGGGGGGGGCACTATTCAAGAGAGGGCTTTATTTTCATTGGCTCTTAGAGACCGGCACTATTCAAGAGAGGGCTCTTATCGCGCGCGTACGGTATGGGTACACTCGCGCACGCACATACAGACACAGCAAAAGTCCCCAGCTCCAGACGACCTAAAATCCTGGCAACAAAAATCTTTTCAACGAAAAACGGTCCCAGAAACGTTTCATTGGCATACCGTATTTTCCCAAGTAAAAGGCACACTTCTAAACACACGCAATTCATTCCAAAAAGTCAATGTGGCCTAAGCTAGTCAAATGAATGGTGTGATATACAGGGTGGATGTGGATGTCTATATATATTCCGTGCCAAAAAAACCTGGGCGCGGCTTATTCTCCAGTGCGGCTCATATTCCGGAAAATACGGTAACAAGTGTATTAAATTCCTAGTTGCGGGGAGACCAGTGCCCGATTCCAACCTGCCCAGACAAGGGTGTTTCTACTGTACAGCGTTCTAGTACACCTACCTGCACATCGGACATCACTGTCACGAATTCTCCGTGCAAATGCCCCAGCACGGGGCGAGCGGATGCAGCCAGAACTCTAGGTGGACAGTTAGATGGTCCAGGCCCGAGCAGGGTCTTCTGCGGAATTTCCAGCGGGCGCAGGAGTGCTGGATCCGGCGGACGACAAGAGGAAGACATTTTCGTATTCGTAGTCTTCTTCTGGGCCAAACGTACGTTAGTTATAAAATTCTCAGCGAAAAAAAGGAAATAAAAATTAATAATACCGACAAGCAGAGACAATTGAAGCAATGCTTATCCAACAATCAAGAATCAGCTTGACTGCAACTACACATCAGCTGGCTATGGGCAATTATCACAACACGTTCTTCTTTTTGTTCTTGAGAGCTAGATACAGTAGCTGTTTCAAATACGACTCCCGATCCCTGCAGCTGGTCGCCACGAAAGATAGAAACATTTTTTGACAGGACTCTTTTTGAATCTGGCGGTACCATGCCCATGGCATCAAGAGTACATAACCCCCCAGAGTGTGCAACGGCGATCCAGCTCTGTGTAGGGTCTTGGTCGAGCGGAATCGGATCTTCTGATGTCATGCGTACACTTCACACCCGCGCAAGGCCGGTCTCGAGGCAGGGCACCATTGTTTTTGATCCAAGAGTACCCGCGACTCCCCGGGTTCCCCTCAGATGTGTACGGTATTATGACGCAAAGATCCGATTCCGCTCGACCAAGACCCTATGCAGAGCTGGATCAGGCGTTGCACACTCTGGGGAGTCTGGGGGGTTATGTACTCTTGATGGCATGTATGTGCGTTGATGAATGCAAAGTGTACAGGGAGTCGTCAAATACCGACTCCATGATTTCCAGACGTTCCGCCGCCCAGCAGCAGCCCTTCACAACCCCGAATGCGCACCTGGTAGATCCACCAAGCGCACGATCGATAGTACGTAGAGTCTACGACTCGTACTCGAACCCGAAAGAAATGCTGCAATTTTTGGTTATGTGTATGATGTCGTAGATATCTACGCTCATGTACGTACTTGATCTGTGACCTATTTCATCCGTACCCGTATCGTGACTTTTTTTGGCCAACACGCACTTCTTCTTTGACTTGGTGCTGCAGCAGGTAGAAGGTTACCCGGTAGTTTGCTGCTGGTGTCAACCTTTCGGAATTCGGAAAGATCGGAGCTTTTCTGGATTTTGCGAACCAGGGCAGAGAAGTTTTTCTTGGTTTTTCTGAGTCCGAATCCGAGTCTTTTCAGCGTAGGCGCTATATTTGCACCATGCGGGCTTGAATGATGGCCCTTTTTGAGTTTCGTGGCTATGGCACTCACATATGGGCACGATGTAGCTCCCGCAATGTACCACCGGTGCAAATGAGCGAGCGCTCCCACGTGTTAGCGCTGGTGCGTACGGTACGCATGCACTTGTCTGATGACGTCGAGGAGATACGCGAGCTCGAGCTAGCTCTTGGAAACTCCTGCTGCAATCTTCTTCCTACAACCGTGACAACCGACCCCAAATGCTTGTGTGCGAAGTTTTGCTGCTGGAAGGCCAAAGGTCTGACTCTTTGTTGGAAGGCGCTCATGTGGGCTACCTGTTTGCCAATGCGTGTGCCGTTTTCTTTCGCAGTGTTTCGAGACTAACCTCGTAAGGTTGTAGACTAGAGTTATCTTTTGCCAAGTCCCGAGTCCTGATCCCCTCTTTGTAGCAGAGGCAGTGGTGGATTTTGTTAGTTTCCTTTTCTGCACTGCTTGTCGGAGTACGGGAGCAAAAAGGAACAACAATGGCGAGCAGTGGAGTGTTGAAAGTAAAGATCTGTGAATTGGACGTGTCTGCATCGTCGCCCGCTCTTGGTGTGGTTGTCACGGTCGACGGGCAGTATGTGTCCCAAACTGGCCAGGTTCCGGCCAACAGTGAGGGAAAGTTCATCTTCCAAGAAGAATTCGAGGAAATCATCGACGGCGCCAGTAAGATCGCCTTCCGTGTGATCACGAAATGTGAGAGCTCTCAGTCGGGTGGTGTGGCTGAGGGCAATGCAGAGATCGCCTCGGTCGCGGGAAAGACCACCAAGGTCTCCCTGCAGCCGTCCGGATCGCTGACCATCACGGTGAATCTGGGCCAAATTGAAGGCAGCGTATCGAGAAATTTCAAGGAGCGTGGAGCTGAGCTGGAACGGCGGCGCGGAGCCGTCCGCCGTAAGGTCCACCAGGTCAACGGGCACAAATTCGTGGCTCGGTTTTTCCGCCAGCCCACATACTGCTCGCACTGCCATGAGTTCATCTGGGGTCTTGGAAAGCAGGGTTACCAGTGTGATGTTTGCCTGCAAGCTGTGCACAAGAAGTGCCATGACCAAGTACACACCGTCTGCAAGGAACTCAAGGAGGAGGAGAACGACCCCAGCATGATCAAGGAGCATTCGTTCGTTGCGCACACGTACAAGAGCCCGACGTTCTGCGACCACTGCGGCTCGCTGCTGTACGGCCTGATGAAGCAGGGCGTCAAATGCAAGTTGTGCAAGATCAACATCCACCACCGCTGCATCGAGATCACGCCACAGAACTGCGGCATCAAGCAGGCCGATATCCTGTCCATGCGATCGGACGACGCAGCATCCGTCATGACAGCGGCAACGACAGACTCCGGCGTTGTCGCCTCGCCAACCACCGGCCGCAAGAGCTGCAAATACGGCATCGACGCCTTTAATCTGCTGAAGACTCTGGGCAAGGGCAGTTTCGGCAAGGTGATGCTTGCTGAGATGAAGGGCACCAATGAAGTGTACGCCATCAAGGTGCTGAAAAAGGACGTGGTGATCAACGACGACGACGTCGAGTGCACCATGATCGAGAAACGGGTGCTGGCCATGGCCGGTAACCATCCGTTCTGCACGAAACTGCACAGCTGCTTCCAGAACGCCAGCAGCCTGTTCTTCGTCATGGAGTACATCAACGGTGGCGACCTCATGTTCCACATGCAGCGCTCGCACCGCTTTGACGAGCCGCGCGCCCGCTACTACTCGGCGGAGATCGTGTGCGCGCTGCTGTACCTGCACACGGCGGGCATCATCTACCGCGACCTCAAGCTGGACAACGTCATGCTGAGCTGCGAGGGACACATCAAGATCGCCGACTTTGGCATGTGCAAGGAGAACATCATCGACGGTGCCACCACATCCACGTTCTGCGGCACTCCCGACTACATTGCGCCGGAGATCATTGAGGAGATGGACTACAACGCGTCCGTGGACTGGTGGGCCCTGGGCGTCCTGATGTACGAGATGCTGGCCGGCCAGGCGCCGTTCGAGGGCGACGACGACGACGAGCTCTTCAACAACATCCTGCACGAGCAGGTCCTCTACCCGTCCTGGATCAGCAAGGGGGCCGTGAGCATCCTGCGCGGCTTCCTGACGCGGCCGGTCCACAAGCGTCTCGGCTGCACGCCCGCAGGTGGTGCTGCCATCAAGTCCCATCCGTTCTTCAGCGCCATCAGCTGGGAGCGGCTCGAGAAGGGCGAGATTAAGCCGCCGTTCGTGCCACAGCTCAAGTCCAAGGCCGACACTGGCAACTTCGACACTGATTTCACCAACGAGGCCGCCGCTATCAGCCCCATTGATCAGAGCATCATCGCCTCGATCAACCAGAATGAGTTCAATGGCTTCACCTTCACCAATGCTGATGTCATACTGTCGCAGTAGAGCTGCACTCGTTTATTGAGCCTGCCAGCACTACACACGGTATCCGTGTTTGATTCTGCGGCAGTGCTCTGCGGCCAAGTACTAGTAGTCATTGTGTGAGCCTCACCTTGCCTATCGGTGTGTGTGTGTGCGTATTGGTCTACATGACGGTGGTGTATCTTTGCACCGGTGTGCCGCAGTGAGCTTCAGGTTGCTGAGCAAACATACAGCTGTATCGTAGCAACTTCCTCTCTGTCTGCCTTGCTCTCTGTCGCTGTTTCGTTGTGGTTGTTGTTGTTGTTATTGTTGTTGTTGTTGTTGTTTGTCGGTGTCCTTTTCTCAGCTACTTGTTTTCATACCTCCAATCCTATGCTTGCACAGCTTGTAGATTTGCTGTATTTCTCCTGCCGTTGAGATAATAGAGCCTGGTTTATCGCACTCCATTGCAGGTTGGTTTGTGTATTCTATTTTTTTTAATTCGTTGACCGGTGCTTGCCTGTCAGAACCCTCTGCTGCTTATAGTGGCTGCAGCTCCCCCCCCCCCCCCCCCCCCCCGGTTTGTAGCTCTTTGTAAACGCTGATTTTGAATGCCAGACGTTTGTTCTCCAGCGGCAACTGTCGTCCCGCTCGAGCGTTCCCAGTCTGCCCAGCGGTGATGTTGATCGTATTGCCGCTTCCATGTGCAAGCTACTTTGTCAGCAAAACCTTCTGCTCCACACATCGCTGTGTGCCACATGCGCACACACACTCTCTCTCTCTCTATCTCTCTCTCTCTCTCTCTCTCTCTCTCTCTCTCTCTCTCTCTTCACACTCACACTCATGATAGAAATTTAGTGCCATAACATTATCTCTTTGCTTGATCAATTCCAACTCTCTCCTCCCTCTGTCTATTAAGTATTATACTGCTAATGATGATGTAGCAAGATGACCATTGATTCTGTTAATTTTGTATTTTGAAAGCATTCCATAGATTCTAGAATCACCGACTGAGCATTATTTATTTTGTGAATTCGTCATAGAGTATGTAATTGTAATAATTCAGTATTTTCAAGACTTATCACTTGCACTAGTTCTTGTCCTTTCTATCCGGTATATCCCTGTCAGACGTTACCAGTGTATTTTTTCAACCTGACAGTGACACTTGCCCAGTAATGCTGCATGTTGCACATGGGCGTGCGTCTGTGTGTGTGCGTTTGTGTGTCCGTTTCCAATCGAGAGGTTGCGGACGATCATGGTCCCACACGTCTTCTTCTCTTTCTCAAATTCTCCCTGACTTTTCTTTCATTCTCCTGGGTGGTTACCGGTACCAACAGCCAGTGCATGCCAGAGTACTGTAAAACCCATTATTCTAACGAGGCGCATACGGTATACCGTAACGTCTTGTATAAAAGCCGAACTTGAATAGAAGCCGCAATTTTGGGCCCATCAAATCACACATAAGCCTGGTTTTAGTGTTGACATACATAGAAATACCTGTCTTGTATAGAAGCCTGTCCCATATGGAAGCCTGCAAAATTTCACCAAGAAAGTCATAGAAGCCGCGGCTTTTATACAAGACTTTACGGTATAATTTATAACGATTTCCTAAAATTGACCAGTTTACGTGTACCAAAAGTAACGATTCTCACTCGTTCTCTTATCGACAGAATTCTGCTCGTTAAATTGTTAGAATTAGCACTTTGTTATATCAACGGCTTTTACAGTATGTGGTGTGTGTGTGTCAAAAAAATGAAAAAATGATCTATGAAAAATAGGGATTCACTGGACAGTAAAAGCTGCTTCAATCAGCCGTGTGGGATTTCTTGGGCCACGACTGTACGAGTCTACGGACACACACCTCAGACATCAGCTTCTTTTTGCCCATCGCGGAAGCGATGATGGCGAACAGCTATGTTAGACATAGCGACTTGTGCTGGGATTACACCATTCAACAGCTTGCAAGGCTGATGAATTGACCGCCATTTTAATAATTATTAGCCTGGTCTACACCACAACACGTTTGCTGTTGCCATGTTACACATGTATGCATGCCACTGTCCCCTTGGAAAAACGCGATTCCGCGGCCGCGGCAATTTTCGCAGGAATTGCCATCATCCGCGGAAATTACGGAATCCACACTTTTGCCCGCGGAATCTTAATTTTTTAGGGTAAATTACTAAAATTAATACTCAGAAAGCAGCAGAAAAACTACTTTGCGATCTGTTTGAGCACATTGCTCTTGCCAGTGTAGTTGAGGGCAGGTCTCTCCAAAATTCTTCACTCTAATTCGGTTTGCGAACGCAAAGGATAGTGTGAAAAGTACTCCTCCATGCAACTAGTTGTCATATCCTCTACAAGGACTTGAAGGAGGGTGAAAAACTTGCAGAAAGTGCCGCAGATTTTTAATTTTACTTCAGAAAATGCCGCAGGAAACCCCCCTTTTTCGCCGCGGAATTTGCCGCAGAATTTGGAATTCTTGGCCGTGTTTTGCAAAGGGACAGGATTGCCAGCTGTACTACTGTAGTACAGTGCTCTCTTCAGTCTTTATACTCAGGTAAACTCGGGTGTCAGAAACAAATCCGAGGAGGCCAGAGACCAAGAGTACATAACCCCCAAGAGTGTGCAACTCGACTATGGGTGCTGTCCCGAAAGATTATCAAGCTGACGTCATCTATACGAAGCAATATTGCGCACTGCACAAGGATTATCAGACGAATCCGGAACCTGGACCAAAGGCGGCGGCGGCCCAGGCCCGGCGGAAGCAGCTTTTGATTGGCCCGGCCATGCCATAGTCTTTCATACAGTTTGTGTACATGTATGATATGGAGGGTAGTCACATGACCTCCTCAGCTGTAAACACACGTTGGTGGCCGAAAAAGTTGGTCCGGCCATGGCCTGACCAAACGGACTGGTTCCGCCGCGCCCGAAAGCCCATCTGATCCTGTTCTAATTATTGCAAAGAAAATCGTGCGAGGCGTCGACACCTGTACGCATATTGTAAATCACTGGTGCAAGGAGCATTGCATCATAAAATGATGACGTCAACTTGAAATTCTGTCGGGACAGCAGGGTACTACTGGAACTGAACCATGTAATTTTAGGTGCCTTAAAATTTCGGTGTCAGGGACCTGCAAGGTTTCAGGTGTCATGTAGAATTAGGTGACCAGCATTCCTTTCTCATACAGTGTATACTCTGGTGCCTTTCAGGTGTAATCCAAATTTAGATGCTGGTTTTCTCTACCGAAATCACTGAAATTAAAGTAGTTATACCGAAAATATCGTGTTTTACAGTATGTGGGAGTTACACACTCCTGTGTGTGTGGGGGGGGGGGGGGGGGGGGGGGGTATGTACTGCTACCGACACCAACCAGCGGGGAATGCAGATAGAGAAGAAGAGAATATGTGAATGTGTATTCGTGCTACGCACATTCTGCTGGATTATAAGGCTGTGGTTACATGAGAATTTTCAACCCGGATCGAAAGTCTGCACGATGGAAAAAAAATAGGTGGGTGTTTACATGAAGACAGTTGACCCGGGGAAATTACTGATATGCCGTCAAAAGTCAACTTCTAGAGTCCCTGGTCACGTGAATACTTTCGTGTGAAATTTTCCATGTGCGCTGCTGTTCAAACCTGGCTCAAGTTTCTGCTTCTGCGGAAGCCCACAGTGCAGGCATCCCGTCAGTTGCGATTCTGTGGCACTGTGGTTCAACAATCACCTTGTGCTAAGTAACTTAGCATCATTATTTATTTATTTATGACATTCCGTCAGCAAGTTGGTGCACTCCGGGAGAAGGTGAGTGGAAAGGTGAACGCATTTCGGCGTGGCCCCACCATCTCGACCAATGCAGCCAGGCGCACATTTTATCTCTCTTTTGTCCAGGCTACACTGGAATATGCAAGCAATGCTTATGTACACAGTCTGCAACAACATGAATATGATCCTGTCATCCGCATCTCTCGCCGTTCATTACGTACTTTATTTGGCTACCCGCCCACCGCAGAGGTTCAGTGCATTCTGTCTCGAAACAACCTGACTGCCAGCGCACTTCTATGCCGCCTTTTTTCTCTTGGACTTGCATTGCCACGAGCCTCCGCTCGATTTGGTTCTTCCTCTCTTTCTTTTGTAGGCTCTGACCGCTGGAACTCAGTTCCGGCATCGGTCTTCCGCCTTGCTGCTTCACCAAGCGAGTCCATTTCGTATCGCAACCCTACACTAGTTAGTGTGCCCCGTAAGGAGACCATAGGTCTGTGGATACTGCCCTAGAGAGATATGAATAAATAATAACGAGAGAGAGAGCTTGAAAGCTCAGTGCCCAACGCTATGCTTTTTTGTAGACCTCATCATGCATGTTATTCGAACTGATGAAAGCGTCTTTGGGCTGATGTTAAGGAGGAGAAGTATGCGTTAGAACTGTAGAGGGTGTCAGGTAGAATGAGAGCGAGTCACATTATCTGCCAGAGACGGCGTCTCGTCCGGGCCTGACTCGTCTTCTCCCTCGAACATCCGGACACCCACGGATTGGCCTGCTCGACAAATGCCTGATCGAATCGGGACATAAAACGCTCGAAGGAAGCAAATATCTGGCCTACGGATAACTCTAACTTCTGTAAACGCTCTAACGAAACAGATCTGGATCTACTGGCCGATCTGCGGGCGGATTTCCTACTAACACTTGACTTGGATCCGATATCCGACGCCGCTATACTCAACTCGTTGTCCGTCGCCTGCACAGGATCAGAGAACCCGAAGACATTTCGACGCTGAACAAAGAGACCCTGAATGAAAACATGGACTGAAAATTACTAGCGCCAAGAAAAAAACTTAACACCACTAGAATTTGTGCATGACATCTCACCAAAACCTTTGTGAAATGAAGCTTCTTTTTCATTTCTGCTATTTTTCAAGGCATAACAAGGGATTCAAACCGAAACTATCGCCCTGCATGCCTTCCCCCGATATACTTCGCATACACACACATTCTTCCAAGTTGCTTCAAGTTATGATCGTGCAGTAGAAAGCCCTATTTGAATAAGATGACCAGCTGTCTTTGATTGCACGGTACGGGACGCGTACGGGATACCGCCAGGCATGCCCGATGATGCAGGAAACATTTACGGAATTAAAGCTGTGTGGACCCTGGCTAGCATCAGACGTTACTTTAAGAGTAACGTCTTTTGCATAACTACGGGAATAGTAGAATAGGATACGCACAGAAGTACGATAGACGATTTTAACCCGGGGAGAAATTTCATATTGGGTCAAGGGCAATGCGTCATGCAAACGCGCCAGTCAGTCTGTGTTCATGGCGGGTAGAAACGCCTCATGTAAACTGAGGCTGTGTTTACACAAGAATTTTCAACCCACGTGGTGTTCAGCCCGGGTTGAAAGTCTGTACGCTGAAGAAATGGGTGGGTGTTCACATGAAGACAGTTTACCCGGGGCAATTACTGATATGCCGTCAAAAGTCAACTTCTAGAGTCCTGTACGGTAGGCACCGGCGGATTATGCCGGCATAATTATTGCAGGGATCGATTCACTTTGATTTTTTTGCATAGCAGTCACTGCTACACAGTTTTACAATTGACTAGCAACTCCCAGTATTGATTAGCAGTTTTCCTTCATCAAAAGTTTACATGTATAGCTGTACAATAGCAGGATTTCGTACAGAAGAGGACAATAGCTGCAGTTGCTATTTGCTTTTCCAAGCGAATGTTCGACCTGAATATTTACGTTAGAGTTTTCGCTTGGGCACGTTACATGTTCAGCGTCCATCCGTCTTCGAGTTCTTCACAACACAATGTCTTTCAACAGGGCAGTTCCACTGATTCCTTCGACAAAGAAACCTCAGGAAAGCGCTCAAACGATCGTGACATTTCGTGCAAAGCGCATCGAATTTCGCTTTTCTCCTTTTCTTCATCGAAACGAATCGACATTCCTGGCGCGTCCAGTTCTTTGTCCCTCTTCTGGACAGTGAATCACTGATCAGATTCACTGACATGTTGGCTACATGAGACTAAGAACCATCTACTTCAACTGTGCCTTGTCGAACAGCCTAAAAAACTGAGCTTGACAGTGAAAGAAGAAAGGAGAACATCATGAAAAGTCACCGCCGTGTACAACTTCAGAAGACTGCAGTCATGACTCATGTA